TGAAGGTGGAGAAAGCAGAGAGTTAAAAGTAGAGAAGAGATGACGAGGACTGGGTGATAAGCTAGGGATGGAGGCTTTAGTTCACTCAAAGCACTACAAAGCCTCTTGGCTCCAGGACCTACAATAGATCTATTTAAGATTCTGAGTGTTTTCTCCATATTAGTAATAACACCCAGAGCCCAGACCTGAATCCGATCAAAAATTTGTGGGGTGATCTGAAGAGGGCTGTGCACAGGAGATGCCCTCAAGGAAGAGTAGGCAAATATTGCCAAGTCAAGATGTGCCATGCTGAAGCCTGACATTTTAACAGGGGAGTGTAGACTTTTCATATCCACTGTATGAACAGAGAATGGGGGCTACAATTCACACAGACTCACCAAAACTGGACAATAGAAGATTGTAAAAATGTTGCCTGGTCTGATGAGTCTTGATTTCAGCTGCGACATTCAGATGATAAAGTAAGAATTTGGCATAAACAACATGAAAACGTAGATCCAACCTGCCTTGTATCAACGGTTCAGGCTGGTGGTGTAATAGTGTGGGGGATATTTTCTTGGCACATTTTGGGCCCCTTAGTACCAATTGGGCATCGTTTAAATGCCACGGCCAACCTGATTATTGTTGCTAACCATGTCCATCCCTATATGACTACAGTATAAATATCTTCTGATGGCTACTTCCAGCAGGATAATGCACCTTGTTACAAAGCTCAAATCATCTCAAACTGGTTTCTTGAGCATGACAATGAGTTCACTGTACTCCAATGGCCTCCACAGTCACCAGATCTCAATCCAATAGAGCACCTTTGGGATGTGCTGGAAAGGAGATTCACATCATGGATGTGCAGCCGACAAATCTGCAGCAACTGTGTGATGTCATGTCAATATGGACCAAAATCTCTGAGGAATGTTTCCAACACCTTGTTGAATCTATGCCACAAAGAATTAAGGCAGTTCTGAAGGCAAAAGGGGTCCAACCCGTTACTAGCAAGGTGTACCTAATAAAGTGTATATTGTATAGCATTTATGTTTTGCAAATAAATATTTAAAATGTGACAAAGGATTCTCGGTGCACTATGGGATTTCTTAAGCAAGAGTACAGCTATAGTTTCTATCAGGCATGTATGTCTGATTAAACTTCTGACAGAACTGTTTAGGGAGATGCGTCACAGGTCTTTGTATTCACTTCTGGGTGCAAATTTTTGCTTTGCTAGTGAGGTTTGTAAACAAGAGGCTCTTCCAACAGAAGGTTAGAAGAAACTGGGAAATATGAATAGTACAATAGTCCAGACCATAATAAATAAATAGAAAAAGGAGCAAAACAGGTATACATACCTGTTAATGCTCTTTCTATAAATGCAAGTGTATGAACTTGCTGGGCCATTGAAACAATACACTCATTATGTGGCTGATATCTTGCCTCAACAATTGCACATAGTTGCTAATTTGCAAATCTTACTTTAAAAATGGGATGTATCCAGTTTACTCCTGTAAGGAAATAGGAGTACCGCTATTCACATAAAACACTCTAAACAAAGTTACCAAAATGTGGATTATTTTATTTCCATATACTGTATTTACTTTGAATATCAAACAATATTTTCTTAAACTTATTACAACATCTCATATACATAAGTAAAGTTATTATGGCTCTTAATTATTATCTTTTTTATTCACATATTTTAAAATAATTAAAACCATATTTAACATTTTTCTGCTACTCCACTGTGGAGCATTGCTATACTTCTAAAGATATAGGTAGAATCAATTTGCATTGTCCTCCACTTTTTGTAAGATAGGTGGATAGAAATTTACAAATCTTTGTTAATAAAATAATAAAGAAGATTAGAATGTGCAAGTCATATAATAAATGACTTTGGGGTAAGCACTGCAAAAATAACTCAAAATATGTGCTTAAAATACAATATACTTTCCTTTTAAGACAAATAAACACCTTCCTCTTTCAAAGTAATATTAAAGGGAAAACCAAGGGATTGGTTTTATCAAAAAGGATATCACTGGACAAAAGCAAACTTGTTTTGGCATGTCACCCCCACTATATATGATCTTCAGTGATGATTAGAGGATCCTGATAAACCAATGTCACTATTTCATTTGACTTGCTAGGGTGCAGAATATCTGAAATATTAAGACCTCCCAATGATATGTGCCTGGATGGCAAACTGATTCTTTGATTTCAGTATTTTTTAAGTCACTGTCCCAAATGAAGTATGTGCGTATGCATATGTTTTCCAGATCAGTGACTTGGGACAGTAGTGAAATCATTGGATTGGCATAAAAGCGTGGGCAATTAACACTTTTATATAGAGAAGACAGGAATTTAAGTGAATACATAATTGTCAGCACAGGTTTAAATACCTTAATCCCTGTCAATACAGAAAAGAACAGACAGGACCACCCTCAGCTGAACTGCCCCTAGGCAATAAATGAGAGCTCACCCAGCATGCCCTGAACAGTGCATGTGCATATCAGGTAAAGAAGCTAAAGCCTGGAACATCTGTGTTCTTTTTAAAAGTTCAGATTGCCCTGTGTACAGGGCACTTTATGGTCACTCCTGTCATACAAAAACTTTCAAGAATGCAGCAAAATCTTATGTATTCCTGACAATGTGAAATATGTATATTAATGTGTAAATTATTAAAGCAAACAGTAACATTTTAACATATGGAACTGTAGAAAGGTGATATCCTTCAGAATTAGATGATATTATGCAAAGGAATGCTCCCATCTCCATTCCCAGACAAACTACACCAACCGTAATCTGATTTCCTTAATTTAGTGAAAGGAGAATATTTCCATAAAGGTCTAATTTCATTCTAATATCAACATGGATAGAAAAGATTGGCTGAATAGCAATGGTAAATGTTTAAAACAGAACTCCAGGAAGTGGTATGCATAGCTAAACCTTCCCCTAATGAATTTGCATTAGTTTTAGGGACATTTTTTCTGTGTGAAAACACTTACGGTCTCTTCAGACTTAAAAGAGAATTATGGGCTATATAAAAAAAAAAAAAAATATTCACCTAGGTAGATGAAACATCGATCTGATGCTGCATCTGTCTCCTGCCGGCTCAGCACTAAGACCTGAACAATCAAACACTGCTGATCACTCAGTTCTCTCCACTGTCTGTCACTGGCTTTTCAGAGCCTGGGCCGGCTTTGCGATGACAGCTGATAGAGGGCTTTTGCCCGCTGTCAGCTGAAAACGGGTCACAGGAGTGCAGAACTAACTGCACTGATGCACTGAAGTAGGAAAAGCAATCATGTGACCTGCACTAGGGAAAAAGATATACAAGTGTAGTTTTTTACATTTATGAATAAGTATTATTTAAAGACATAATAATACCTATTGGAGTATACTGTATATGTGGGATACCTTGACTTCACAATACTTTAATCCAGTGTTTTTCAGTCAAGGCACCCTTTAAAATTAGTGACAGTCCCACGACACCCTTTAACATTATAGACAGTCTTGAGGCACCTCATTCTAAAATGGGGTGCCTCAAGACTGTTCACGATTTTAAAAGGCACCTCATTCTAAAATGTGAAAAAACTATTCTAGTAGTTTTATATAATGCAGCAACATCCACACATGTAGGACACCCAACATTAGAGGTGATTTATTCTTCCACAGCAAATACACTTTTGCACACTGGTACTGACTAGTATTCCTGTGTTTCTCTTCTATCCATCACTGAGCTAATGTGACCCCAGCACTGATAGAGAGGACAAGGGAGAGTCAAACTAGGATGTTGTGCAGACAAATGACATCCTTATCAACTGATGATGTCATTGGCTGTCAGGACGCCGGCAGCTAGAAAGTTGCAAAGGTGCACAATGAAAATCTTTGTGTAACTAAAAGGCAGGCTTGTTCAACCCGCTGGCTTGTATACAAGTTTTGAGCAATTTTTAGACATTTTGCCAAGGCACCCCTGAAGAAACCTCAAGCCACCCCAGGGTGCTTGGGCACCCTGGTTGAGAAAGGCTGCTTTAATCCACCTATAATATAAAATATATGCAGCGCAATATTGTGACAGTACTAAATTATCATACAGTGCATATTCAGTGCTTCCAACATATCTCCTTATATAACATAAACACACTTAATTTCATATACATTCCCCTATTGATCATGTGTTTACCAAATCTTGTACACTGTACATTTACATATTAACAGTGTCCCAAGTCGACAAAATGATATATTGTGAACTGCCCCTTTAAGGCTCTGTGCTCCACGTGCTCATGTGCAATCGCTTCTCTTTAAATAACCATCCAGTGTATTTGTGCGACCCCCCGTGTTGTAACCACCTCTGACACACTTATGCGCTCACCTTATGGTTTGACCCGAACTGTCAGGTCAAACCTAGCCTTTCCCTTAAACCCGGGCGGGTGTAATGGTATGTCAATTTCCAATTGCTCCTGCACCTCCAAACTCCACAACGCACCACTCAGAAGTGGGTCCGAACCGTTTGGTCAAAGAACACTCCTCTCCCTTTCCCCAGATGGGTACGCTGTCACATGCAATCTCCAACTCCTCCTCCTCCACACTCCAAAATGCACCACAGAAATGGAAAGAATGCTCCAGATAGTGAAGTACCGTATTTTTCGCTCCATAAGACGCACCTGACCATAAGATGCACCTAGGTTTTAGAGGAGAAAAACAAGAAAAAAAATATTCTAAACCAATGGACTGCAGACATAGTACAGGAGATGACCAGAGACTGCGGACACAGTACAGGGGATGACCAGAGACTGCGGACAAAGTACAGGAGATGACCAGAGATTGCGGACACAGTACAGGAGATGACCAGAGGAGACTGCGGACACAAAGTACAGGAGATGACCAGAGACTGCGGACAAAGTACAGGAGATGACCAGAGACTGCGGACAAAGTACAGGAGATGACCAGAGACTGCGGACAAAGTACAGGACCAGAGACTGCGGAGTACAGGAGATGACCAGAGACTGCGGACAAAGTACAGGAGATGACCAGAGACTGGCCAGTAGACTGCGGACTGCGGACACAGTACAGGAGATGACCAGACTGCGGACACAGTACAGCCAGAGACACATAGTACAGGAGATGACCAGAGACTGCGGACACAGTACAGGAGATGACCAGAGACTGCAGACACAGCACAGGGGATGACCAGAGACTGCAGACACAGCACAGGGGATGACCAGAGACTGACAGAGAGACAGGGGCTGACCACTGCTGACACAGCACAGGGGATGACCAGAGACTGTGGACACAGCACAGGAGATGACCAGAGACTGCGGACAAGCACAGGAGATGACCAGAGACTGCGGACAAAGTACAGGAGATGACCAGAGACTGCGGACAAAGTGCAGGGGATGACCAGAGACTGCGGACACAGTGCAGGGGATGACCAGAGACTGCGGACACAGTGCAGGAGATGACCAGAGACTGCGGACACATTACAGGAGATGACCAGATACTGCCGACACAGCACAGGGGATGACCAGAGACTGCGGACACAGTACAGGAGATGACCAGAGACTGCGCACATAGTACAGGAGATGACTAGAGACTGCGGACTGCAAGATCTACCTGCCATAATTCCGGACTCTCTTTCTGCTCACTTGGGAGTTTTATGTGTTCCCTTCTACTATGTGTGTGCTCTAGCATTTTTGGTAATGTAAAATAGAGTAAAACAGGTGTTCACACCCAAGAATTGAGCAAGAATTGAGCAGAAGAATTGAGATCTCACCCTCCGCTTGAGGTCTCAGCCTACGTTTACATGTATACAGTATGGGAAACGCAGCAAGTCCTGTCCATTTCCTGCACAGCATTGAAATCACACCTCGTTCATGTGATCTGCTGTGGGTGTCAGTGTTAAAGTGTTGCTAAACCCAGAACAGTAAAATCTGTTTCTATATGCAGTAAAGCATGCTTGTTATACTCACTGTGGAACCTAAGGGGTTAATCCTTTGCATTGTGTAAAAAGGCAGCTTGATCCTGACTTCTCTGCTCCTCATTTGTTCAAATGTCCACATATTATCTCCTGACAAGACAGACTGAACGGTAGCCATTCTGCACATGCTCATTTTAGTGTACAGTTGCAAGAAAAAGTATGTGAACCCCTTGGGATTACGTGGAGCTTTGCATGAATTTGGCATAAAATGTGCTCTGAACGTCATCTAAGTCACAACAATAGAAGAACACAGTCTGCTGAACATAATACTACACAAACATTAGATGTTGCCATGGTTTAATTGCACATAACATGTAAACATTCGCAGTGCAGGGAGGAAAAAGTATGTAAACCTTTGGACTTAATAACTGGTTGACCCTCCTTTGGCAGCAATAACCTCAACCAAACGTTTCCTGTAGTTGCAGATCAGACCTGCACAACGATCTGGAGTCATTTTGGACCACTCCTCTTCACAAAACTGTTCCAGTGTAGCAATATTCTTGGGATGTCTGGTCTCTCTTAAGGTCATGCCACAGCATTTCAATGGGGTTGAGGTCAGTGACTGGGCCACTCCAGACGGCGTATTCTGTGCTGTTGCAGCCATTGTTTTGCTGAATGACTTGGATGCTTTGGGTCATTGTCCTGTTGCATCACCCATCCTCTGCGGAGCTTCAGTTGGCAGACAGATGGTCGTATGTTTTCCTGCAAAATGTCTTGATAAACTGTGGAATTCATTTTCCCATCAATGACAACAATCCGTCCAGGCCCTGAGGCAGCAAAGCAGCCCCAAACCATGATGCTCCCTCCGCCATGTTTCACAGTGGGGATGAGGTTTTGATGTTGGTGTGCTGTGCCTTTTTTTCTCCACACATAGTGTTGTGTGTTCTTCCCAAACAACTCAATCTTAGTTTCATCTGTCCACAGTATATTTTGCCAGTAGTGCTGTGGAACATCCAGGTGCTCTTTTGCAAACTTCAAACGTGCTGAAATATTCTTTTTGGACAGCAATGGCTTCCTCCGTGGTGTCCTCCCATGTACTCCATTCTTGTTTAATGTTTTCCTTATTGTAGATGTGTCAACAAAAATGTTAGCATGTGCCAGAGATTTCTGTAGGTCTTTAGCTGACACTCTGGGATTCTTCTTTACCTCATGCAGCATTCTGCGCTGTGCTCTTACAGTCATTTTTACAGGACAACCACACCTAGGGAGAGTAGCAACAGTGCTAAACTTTCTCCATTTGTAGACAGTCTGTCTTACCGTGGACACATGAACATCAAGGCTTTTGGAGATACTTTTGTAACCCTTTCCAGCTTCATGCAAGTCAACAATTCTTGATGGTAGGTCTTCTGAGAGCTCTTTTCTGCTAGGCATGGTTCACATCAGACAGTGCTTCTTGAAACCAGTAAACCCAAAACAGGTGTGTGTTTTTTAAGGGCAGGACAGCTGTCAGCAACACATCCAATATCATCACACTGATTGGAGTCAAGGTTGGCTCACTCCCGGCTCCAATTAGCTCTGGGAGAAGTCATTAAGCTAGGGCCTCACATACTTTTTCCTCCCTGCACTGTGAATGTTTACATGTTATGTGCAATTAAACCATGGCAACATCTAATGTTTGTGTAGTATTATGTTCAGCAGACTGTGTTCTTCTATTGTTGTGACTTAGATGACGTTCAGAGCACATTTTATGCCCAATTCATGCAAAACTCCACGTAATCCCAAGGGGTTCACATACTTTTTCTTGCAACTGTATATTGCTAGAGAGGTTTTTTTTTTCTTGGGAGAGTGTATGTGATCAGCACAGGGCCAATCAGCACTGTCCAGACAGAGAGAGCAGAAAGAAAACTCCTCCTACAAGCTGTAACCAGTGCTCTGCTGGACACTGAAAGAAGTCACAAGACTGCTCTAACTGCTGATGAGAGAAGGTATATAGCTGTTTATATTAACTAAAATAATTTAATTTGCATATTCTGTGTACTGTGGGAGACCAGATATAGTGAACGCAGGGTCCTGGGTTTAGTAACACTTTAAATTAATGACACACCAAAACAGGTTGAAAACACAATTGGCAAAATCGGATTGGGTGTTTACACCCATGTGATCCAATTCCAGACGCTTGTGCCGTTTTGTTCAGTGCTGTGCGATTTGAGCCATGCAAAATGGATGCGCTCAAATCGCACTGCAAAGAATCGTATGTAATTTGAACAGGAATGTGGTGAGATTCCTGTCGGAATCACATGTGGTTCCCTGCACCGCACCAGTGTGAACCTAGGCTCAGAGAGATGTATGAAATTATCAGGTGGTGTAATTCCCCAGGATCCACCCAGAATTGAAATATCAGTTTTAGGTGGACTGACACTTTATTTTGTAGAAAGAAAAAAAAACACTTGAGTCCCACTTGTGGGTGATCCACAACATCTGAGAAGACTCATGTCTGATTTGTTATATTTTTGTTACAAAAGCAATTTTAATATCTTATGTGATATTCAATTTACGTAATTTTCACCTCTTGCTTTTCATTACCCCTAATAACCATTAATAAACAACACTTTGCATTTTATAGTAGTGATTAGGGAGCTCTGTTTTTCAGAAACATGCCAGTCTGATATCAATTATAGAAATCAAGCCATGAGAAATAAAAATAATATTTATGCTTGGATAGGGGGTCTTCTGTGAATCATAAGGGGGACCCACACATGGTTTGTGTTTAAAAAGGGACAGTACACATTTAAAAATGGGGGAAAATTACATTAGGTTCCCCTTAAAATTCATATAAGACTCTTATCCAGGCATGGTATGAATTTTTCCTAACCAGAGTGTCCAGGAAAAGTGAGCAGTGAGCATGCTTCCCCCTTCCTGTATCATACCAGACCGCATGACTTTTAACATTGGGAAGGTACCTTGCAAGCTAGGGTGATTCTGCCCAACCCATTTCCACCACAGCAGCAGGGGCGGACTGACAACTCATGGGGCCCCCGGGCAATAGGGGATCATGAGGCCCCTGTGTCCTTGCCCAAACTCAAAAAAGCCTATGAAAAAGGTACCAGGGGCATCTCATGGGGCCCCCTACTGACCCCGGGCCCTCGGGCAGTGCCCGAGTTTCCAAATGGTCAGTCCGCCCCTGACCACAGCCCCTGCCTGGCACCTTATCATTACCATTTTCAGCTAATGATGTCACCCAGGTTTCTTGGAATTTTTTGTTTACCAACAGAAGCCTACTGGGGATCTGTCATTTACCAGTAATAGTGCTAACCCTGCCAAATGACAAATACTTGGACAGCATGTTTACAAAGAGCAGCCAGGAATTTGCTCCGGTAACCTGTCCAAATTTGACCAGTTTGTGCACTGGCTCACTGGACTACAAACAGGCTGGGTTCAGGTTGAATTCATGTTTAACCTTAAATCAGTGGTTCTCAACCTTTCTAATGCCGCGACCCTTTAATACAGTTCCTCATGTTGTGGTGACCCCCAACCATAAAATTATTTTCGTTGCTACTTCATAACTGTAATTTTGCAGTGGGAGGAGTAGTGCCACGTCATTGGTGTCAGTGGGAGGAATAGTGTCCCATCACTGATGTCAGTGGGAGGAATAGTACCCCATCATTGGTATCAGTGGTAGGAATAGTGCCCCATCATTGGTGTCAGTGGTAGGAATAGTGCCCCATCATTGGTGTCAGTGGGAGGAATAGTGCCCCATCATTGGTGTCAGTGGGAGGAATAGTGCCCCATCATTGGTGTCAGTGGGAGGAATAGTGCCCCATCATTGGTGTCAGTGGGAGGAATAGTGCCCCATCATTGGTGTCAGTGGGAGGAATAGTGCCCCATCATTGGTGTCATTGGGAGGAATAGTGCCCCATCATAGGTGTCAGTTGGGGGAATAGTGCCCCATCATTGGTGTCAGTGGGAGTAATAGTGCCCCATCATTGGTGTCAGTGGGAGGAATAGTGCCCCATCATTGGTGTCAGTGGGAGGAATAGTGCCCCATCACTGGTGTCAGTGGGAGGAATAGTGCCCCATCATAGGTGTCAGTGGGAGGAATAGTGCCCCATCATTGGTGTCAGTGGGGGGAATGGTGCCCCATCATTGGTGTCAGTGGGAGGAATAGTGCCCCATCATAGGTGTCAGTGGGGGGAATAGTGCCCCATCATTGGTGTCAGTGGGAGGAATAGTGCCCCATCATAGGTGTCAGTGGGGGGAATAGTGCCCCATCATTGGTGTCAGTGGGGGGAATAGTGCCCCATCATAGGTGTCAGTGGGGGGAATAGTGCCCCATCATTGGTGTCAGTGGGAGTAATAGTGCCCCATCATTGGTGTCAGTGGGGGGAATAATGCCCCATCATTGGTGTCAGTGGGAGGAATAGTGCCCCATCACTGGTGTCAGTGGGAGGAATAGTGTCCCATCACTGGTGTCAGTGGGAGGAATAGTGTCCCATCACTGGTGTCAGTGGGAGGAATAGTGCCCATCACTGGTGTCAGTGGGAGGAATAGTGCCCCAACACTGGTGTCAGTGGGAGGAATAGTGCCCCATCATTGGTGTCAGTGGGAGGAATAGTGCCCCATCGTTGGTGTCAGTGGGAGCAATAGTACCCCATCGTTGGTGTCAGTGGGGGGAGGAATAGTGCCCCATCGTTGGTGTCAGTGGGGGGAGGAATAGTGCCCCATCGTTGGTGTCAGTGGGGGGAGGAATAGTGCCCCATCGTTGGTGTCAGTGGGGGGAGGAATAGTGCCCCATCGTTGGTGTCAGTGGGGGGAGGAATAGTGCCCCATCATTGGTATTAGTGACACCAATGATGGGGCACTATTCCTCCCACTGACACCAATGATATTTACCTTGCTGACCCCTGCTCCAGCCTGGGCTCGCTCGCTCCCTCCCTCTCCCATGGTACAGACACTTACCGGTCAGATGTCTTCCTTCTCCGGCCGCTCTCCTCCTCTTCACTCGCTTGATCTTCGCGGTGCCGCTTGGCTCCTCCTCTCCAAGCTCCACCTCCTCGCCGGTGATTGGCCGCCTGTGTGCCTCTCCTGAGCTACAGTTCCGGCGGCCAATCACCGGCGAAGGATTGATCCCGGGGGGTGTGCCCAGATGACAGGGACGGCATGTCATCCCGCCCACACCTGGAGACGGATAGAGGAGCGGTGTCTCGGTTCCTAAGGCCATCGGAAATATGTGTTTTCCGATGGTCTTAGGCGACCCCTGGGAAAGTGTCGTTCGACCCACAAAGGGGTCACGACCCCCAGGTTGAGAACCGCTGCCTTAAATGGAGGTTTATCCCTAGTAAATAAAAATGTCGTAAGTGACCAGCACCAGCCTGTACATATTTTGAGGGTGGTAAGCAGTCAATTTATGTAAACATACAGGCAAAAGCAATGCTTTGGTAACCTTTTATATCTCTTGAGGATTCCAGTGGTGAACCTCCAAGGTTCAACGTTACAAAGGAATTCAGTTTCAGAGCCCTGTTACACTTGTGCAACTTGTCATGCGATTTTGGTATGCAAAGTTGCATGACAAGTCGAACCCAATGACTACTATTCATAACTGTGCGACTTGAAAGTAGTTTCTGCACTACTTTGGTCCAACTTTCATGCAACTTGAGGGCCATATACTTCACTGTAAACCCCCCAAAGATGCACCTGAATGTTATACGTGCAATTTTTGTGCGACTTTGTACAGCACAATCATCTTTGGTCAAAGCCAAAGCCGCACCAAAGTCATACTCATCCAAAGTCCAATCAATCACACTGTAAAGTCGCAATGAAAATAGCACGATTTTGAAGTGGCACAAGTGTGAATGGAGTCTCACTGTTGGATTTTTTGTTTATTTTACATTATGTAGAGTACAATGCAAGAAGAATAAAACCACTTCCGCAACTTGTGCGAATGGGTGGACCTGGGCAATGCCAGAAAGGTCCCGTCTGTAAAATTCCTGGAAGATGTAGGAAATCAGAGAGCCTCTCACCCTACAGCAGTCTAGTTTTGAACAGATGACCTTCTAAGTGACCCCTCTTATACACTTATACAGTTCAGGAACTGATGTGATGCTATACTGAAACCTGAATTCCTCTGTGACATTTACATTTGCTGACTTATTTCTGGTAAGAGCAAAAAGCCACATGTTTTCTATTTACAGAGACTGTATGGCTGCTTGCTCTAAATGTATCAAAAAAGGAAGCTGTGACCTTCTTATAGTTCCAGTTCCTGGGTACATAAAACAGCATCGTCCTTGGTGTAGTTGCTTTCTTAGCCATTCATCCATATGCTATACAGATTGTGAAGCACTGGCTGGCAGGATTTTGGACCTTGTATACATACATCCCAACTTTCTGAGATGGGAACGAGGGACGCCTATTAGCAAAAGTATGTAGGCATAGGATACCCCCCCTGGCCATGCCCCCCCTTAAAGGAGAAATATTAAAAAAAATTGTTTGTTATACCCACAAGTCACTTTTTTACCTCTACTATTCTTTTATATTTGTTTTTTGAAATTTACAAATGCAGCAATTTAGAAATTGGATGAAAGGTTTAGTGCTGTTTAAGACTTTTTGATACATATGTTTTGTGTTGCTGAATACCATTAATGCTGTTAGTAGACTGTCTATTCCCATGGATCCGATGATTGTGTTGCCAGGTCTTTTGGATCTCATGGAGACATCTAAGCATAATCGATTGTTTGTCTTCTATGCTTTTACTATGCTAGGAGGGAAATTTTGATGAAATGGAACCAGTCGGCTCTGCTGTCAGTCTCGGGCTGGGAATTGGCAATCAACGGGGGTCTTCCACTATACAAACTTACTTATATGAGGCATAATTGCCCAGCTAAATTTGATAAAATATGGGCAGGGTGGATGGAGGCGGTATAACCATTGGATTAGTCTCTTGCGGGTATGTCCAGTTTGTGCTGTTTGTTTGCTTGGTTATTGTTTCTACTTATGATCTGCCTTTTGCCTTTTCTCCTAGCCCCTATTCTTCTTCTCCGCCCCTCCTTCCTCTCCTCCTTCCCCCCCTCCCCCCCCCCAGAGGTTTTCCTCCTCATCTCCCTTTTCTTTCCCCCCCAGTCACCCAGGATGCCCAGTTGACTCAGTATGATCTTTGGTGTGGAAGTGTCATGTATATTGTATTACTACTGCTTGCAAGAAATTTGCCTGTTCTTGTGTACCTTGCTTTGTTCTACTTTTTGATAGATAAATAGTGCATAGTATATGTAACTATATTGATCAGACCAAAATGAGGGACAAATGATGAGTTAAGAGGGGACAGGGGGACTTTGTTCCAAATGAGGGACAGTCCCTCAAAATTAGGGACAGTTGGGAGCTATGTGTATATGTGTCACCTAGGTTTCTCACATACATATGGTGAGGGGCTCCAGTGTTTGTGCCTGTTAGGGCTCGTTTACACTAGCTTTTAAGGGATAGTAAAACCATGTGGTTGAGCCATGTTTTTACTGCCCTCCAACAGCTCCTTTTTTTGTAGCAGCTGAGAGTGTACATATGCAGCGGCAGAAATGATACCCCCGTATCGAGTTTTGCAGCACTACCGCCCACCAAATGTGACCCATTCAAGTGAATTAGACAGCGCTGCAACTGCCACACAACCATGCCCACTGCACACGGTAGTGGCATGGTGGTGCGGCATTTAGGGGTGAAAACAGTCAGTGAGAAGGTGATATATTACAGAGCGGCAGTCCTGGCAGCTAGTGTAAATGAGCCCTCAGGGCTCATTTAGATGTACTTAGAAATTTTTGATACAGTGAATGCCCTTTAACACCCCTAGCACTTTAAGATATTATTGGCATGTTTTGAAAGTGTTTGCATTGCACTAAATAACGTTAGTGTCGATTTTCCATTATATGGATTCTTGTACTATCATCTTGGCTAGTAGACTTTCTAAATACTTTTCAAATGCTCTGTAAACATCATAGAAGTGACATGAATTGAGGTGTTTGGGGAGCAGTAAAGCCAGGTGAACGCTACATGCTGGATAAATGTTGGTACAACAAAAACACAAAGCACTCTGAACATGACCATGTGAACTACACTGTCAGCTGCAATAGACATGGTTGGGACTGTATAGAGCAGGGGAAGGCAACCTTAAAGAGGTGGAGATCTGCCTG